ATTATTATTATTATTATTATAGTATAGATATGTGTGTGTTCAACGAGCGTTTTCCTTTCGCGCAGGTGCATGTGTAATCCTGGCTACACGGGGCAGAACTGCGACAGCAAGTACATCCCGTGCGACCCGTCCCCGTGTCTCAACGACGGCTCCTGTCGCCAGGTGGACTCGCTGAGCTACGAGTGCCAGTGTCCTGTTGGTGAGTACCTGCAACTTCGTTTTGCAACTTGCCACATTTTACTTAATTTGAGTTTGCCTCTGTTAATAGAGAATGATACGTGTTTTAAGACTACAATGGAGATTTTGTGTTTAACTCGAAAATTATTCTTAGTTTTAATGTCAACTGGTAACTACAATAACTAAATGTTTTGTCACTTTTTTGGTGGAATAGTTATTAGCAGATGATGCTGCTGTCCAAAATTGTTCTGACAGGCTTTTTCTGTTTTCCCGAAGATATGCTCTTTTGTCACAGCACTTGGCCCCTCCACTCTAAAAATAAATCCCTTGTTTGATGCTCACTTCCCGAAAGCAACTCGTGAGACAGATACACGTAGTGTGTGGACAGTCGCGCATCGAGGATTTTGTTCCCGCAACTGGAGCTGCCCTCGCACAGCAAAACGCGTGTGAAGTTGCAGACGCTTTGCGCGAAGCCCGCGAGCGGTCAGTGGCCATCACCCCCCTTATCCCCCTCCCCCAAAATCAGCGCCTCCCCTCCTCTTAACATCCAATTGCTCGTGGAGAGCGCTGTTGAGCCCCTCTCGCTGCGACGCCACTGCGCTCATGACATCGCCTCGGGCGATCAGAGATAATAGGCAGTTTTTGCACGGTCGAGCGTTACCGCAATGGACAGCACTGTCGATCTTCTGGGCGTGCGCGGTTCGAGTTTGTGCATCTGCGCATGCGCAAGGGTCCATAGTGCTGTCCGCTACGGCGTGCAAAAAGTCTGAATACAAGGATTTATTTAACCGCGCCCTTGATGTAAATCAGCTGTCCACGGTTTTCGTCCAATCGGGAGCTTGAACTTTCTCATAGTGACGTCTTGTAAAAGCTCGCGATTGGATGAAACCGCAACAGCTGATTTACGTCAAGTGCACGACTAAATAAATTGTGCCATATTTACACATGCTCTTTGTTTCGGGAAACTACTACTTTAGGCGTAATCCATGAGATCAAGTAAATGGCATGAACTAAACCTATTCAACTTAATGATTCTTGAAAATTCATATGAGCATTTGCGTATGCTTGGAATGTCGAAATTGTTGCCGATTACTGAACGCTTAACTGTACAAGTCCCGAATTATGCATGAAATGTTTAAATCGTTACTTTATAGTTGGTATATGTCAAAACAAACTAATAAGTTCAGTTTCTAAATAATTTAGATAAATTTGGTTCTAAGATAAAATGAGAATACCAATCGTAATCAAGGGACATACGACTGTAGTGGAGTGCGTAAAGCGAATATATCAATCTACGAATTCCGCAGCTCAAGTTTCTGTGTAGAGGGCAATTGTTACATTTCCTAAAAATAATGAATTTCAATTGTTTAATAAGGGCACAAAGTAATGAACAGCAATCTCCGTCTTCTGCGCATGCGCTGTTGGAGTTGCGCATCACTTTTGAATATCTGTGCATACCCATAGATTACTGTACGCAACACTGTGCTTCAAGATCCTATTAATTTTATAAAATTATTATTTTTGTTTCGCCAGTTTTGCCTGTTCTCTTGCTTCTCCGTTTTGAGAAAAAAAAACTATTCCACCGTGCGCTCTTTCTGCTACTGCCGCCATCGCGCTAGTCTGCCTCGCCGCCAGATCGCCTTATTTACATTCGTGTAGATTCGAACATGCAGTGAAAGCCGATCCGATACTTGATCCTTCGGATATCGCAATGAATGGGTTCAATTTCTTTGCATTGGGAGCGGCTGCGTGACCGGCGGTCGCCTATCCGCTCGTGGCGCGCGGGTCTTTCAGTTTAATTCCTTTTGAGCTGTTCGTGTTATCTGAACGCGCCTTCTTTGGTCATATTCTCCATTTCTTGAGCCGCACCCTACAAACCGTAGTAGAATCATAAGAAGAATCGTTGAGTATTCATGAGGCTCGTTCCAAAGTATAATATACACATATTTTGTAATTATGATGATCGAGGAGATTATTTTTGATGTATTCTCTTGAAGTGACCTCGTGTGTATGGGAAAAAATACCGCATAATGTAGGATTAGCTCAAATGATCGTTTGCGAAGAAGCATTAAACCATGGCTTTTCGATGCCTTTTATAGAATCTTGTTTGTCAGTGTGTTGTTGCGATATCGAACCCTTGCGAGGAGGCATGCACGCTTAACGTTGGTTTTCAATTCTGCAGATTTGCTAATGAGTGACAGTTAATCTTGCGTTTGATGTTGTCAGCCAAAGAGAAATGCAACACGTCTGAAGACTTGCCTGGAATATCTTCTGCGGAGTATTTCCCAACACTGGCGGTGGGCTGTTGACAGTGGAATCGTTCTGTCGAAGGTTGTGTTGAGGGACTGAGATTTGCGTCCGTCGTCCTTGGTTGCATTCGCCTCCTTCCCCCCTGTAATTCGTCGCTTCCGGTTCCTGTATATAAAGCTGCGGGGGAGGAAGCGTGGGAACCAACAGCCCGGCGGCGAAGGACTCGCCGCAATTGTCTCAGGCCGCGTCTCCAGCCACTGCGCTGCCCGTGCCTCCTTCCACATGCTGTGCGCTACTGTTGTTATCGACTTCACCAAGCCAAACAGGCGAATGAAATGACAATTCCTAACTGCCAGCGTCAGTTGAAATCAGGCGAAAGAAAGTAGTTCCAAGGAAGACCAGTTATGTAGACTTATCCCAAGAAAATATTCCTTGTTTATATGATTTTGTTTCCTAGTCAGAGGTGATTTTACGAAAAGTATTCAACGACATGGCTTATAACGCGAGGAACAGGCAGTCCTGTGACCTGGCTAATACTTTTGGTAAACTATATCCAATTGAGAACAAATGTCATTGCATTACACTCATTCGAGTTACCTGTTATGAGTGGTTTAATTCTAGCTTTCAGAATCATTTGGGAAACGAAATATGGCGTACAACTTACATTATGCAAGTGGCACCAAAAGTAGAGTCATTTTGGAATTTTTTCAGAACTGAGGGTTGCTAGACCACCCTTTTTTAGCAGCGTCTCTCTTGTCTTATAAAATGTACCTCAGTTCACTTGTGTTACTTACATGCTAGTGTTAATGAACAACAGAAGTATCACTAAAAAAAGAGGAAAGTGTTGGATGAGGCTTCAACACGAGTCACAAAAACAAGTTTTTATAACCCTGAGAAAGGGTAAAAAAGACAAAATTACAAACAGCATGCAGCACACTTAAAATAGCGAGTGAATATATGAAAAATGCTACAGTCAAAAGGTTATGTTGATATAGCTGAATCGTCTGGTTCAGATGCAAATGGAAATTAAACTTATAAAAAGAAAGAACATTTGCCTACAAAATAGAAAAGATAGCGTAATGTATATTCGAGAATACCTACAGCTAGAGAAAACGTTTTATAAAGCTAGAAAATTTAATTTAATATTATATTTAAAAATGTTGAAAGTGCAAAGAGAAAGGATATTATTTTCAATTACTTTGTTGTGAGTTTACATCAATTTTAGGAAGACGTTGACCTACGTCAACGTATAATATGCTTGGACGTATACTGCTGCGTATATGCTAATTCTTGTAAAATTTAATATTTTAAAATTCTAATTGTTTTGTATTTCGTGAAACATAGAATATTAATTACTACTGACGCTAAATTTAATTTCATTAGTGGAAATTGAATTGCGAATTTGTTGGGTCTAGTTTTGTCCAAAGTGTTCGTTGAGAGGTTTCTATCTTCTTCGAAGAAAATAAGTGTAATTGCGCTGGCTCATTGAGCGCGGCGAAGACGACTTCGCGAGGCACGGGCGGAGACCATTCCAGCTCTCTTCCGTCGCCCCCACTTGCGTGCGACTCCTGGGAGGATGATGTTAATGGCGCGATAGGAGCACCCGACAGGATTGCTTAATTAGCCTACTCGACGAGGCGACGTTGCAATGTTGATATTGCACGGTGCCTGCTGCTTAATTGCGAGTGAGCCACTGGATCGGACGTCGCCAAGAAGTTTCTAGTAATCGCTGCCTTCTGGTTTGAATGTTTTGATCTGGAATAATTAAGTATTGGCATCTATAAATCACCCTTCAAGTTATTAAGAATGGAGAAAAATGTTAGGATGTATAAATATTGAGAATATTGCACTCTGTTTTTGGACGCTAGTTAGTGTTTGTGTTGCACGTTTCCTTCTCGAGAAAGACGCAGTGAAATTGAAAAAAAAATCGTAATTATTTCGACGTTCCACGCGTTTAATGAATGTACGCGTGCTGTGATTTGCGTTTGATCGTCAGTGACGTCCGTAAGAAAGATGTTTGCTGCGGGTGAGCGTTACAAAGCGACCTCGACGCGACCCATCCAGCCTGTGGGTTATGTAATAACTTTTTGGTGTTGGACGAGGAGAAGGAGGAGGATGGCGGTGTCTGGTAGTATCGAGTTTCCGTCCGACCTCAGGTAGAGTCCGGAAAAATAACGACCCCACTCGTTGACGAACTAGGCGGCCTCCTACTTCTCTTTTTTGTTTTTAGTTGCTAGTTTGACTCTTGTCCTTTCTACTTTTTTTAATTTTTTTTAATGTGTAATAATATCTCGTCTCCTTAATTCCCAAGATTCGTTTCCGATGTAAATAAGTTTTCTATAATTCGGAAACGAAAATTTCTATTTGTTCAAATGTTGCTAATCTCTCCCTTTTTTAAGTTTTAATTATTTATTTTGTTTGTTGTATTTTTTAAACTTTTATCATCTTTCAACTATTTATAGTTAAAATGTTGTGAAGGAATTCTGTAGCTCAACAAAACACCTCTTCCCCATACGTAACATACAGAGGTTTAAGGTTATAAAATCAAAGATTTTTGTTACGTTCAAACTGTCGAATTTTCTCCTTCGTCAAATATTCTGCTTTCTTTCATTAAGTACTGTCGATGACTCTCTTCTGTTAGAGTACATGTTGAAGCGATCACTCTTTTGCTACCCTTATTGCGTATGGGTCTGCTCCCACGTGCGGTCGGTCGTCTTCCCGTCGCCTCTCGAAGCCTCAGCGCAGACGGCGCCTGCGTGCAACGCGGAAATC